TCCTGCCCGTGCTGACCCCCACCCCTGCAGCTACTCAGCGTCCTACCCCACCAACCTCGAAGCCTTTATTTCTAAGCTAACACGCGGGCAGGCCGGGCCCCCCAGCCAGCGCGCCGGGTGCCCTCACGCAGCGCAGCAGCTGCCTCCGCCGCCCCGGCCCCTCAGTAGTCATCCCGTTTTATCTTAGTCTTCTTGGGTCTAACGTTCATGCGCCTCCAGATGGCGGCGGTGGAGCGGTCCTGCTTGGTCACCAACCTCGAAGCCTTTATTTCTAAGCTAACACGCGGGCAGGCCGGGCCCCCCAGCCAGCGCGCCGGGTGCCCTCACGCAGCGCAGCAGCTGCCTCCGCCGCCCCGGCCCCTCAGTAGTCATCCCGTTTTATCTTAGTCTTCTTGGGTCTAACGTTCATGCGCCTCCAGATGGCGGCGGTGGAGCGGTCCTGCTTGGTCACGCCGCTGAAATCGAAGGCCTTGAGGTGGGGCAGCACGGACAGCACGTAGTTCCTGCGAGAGCACCCGGTCAGGCCCAGGACAGCCCGCGCTGAAAAGCCAGAGACACCCCGGCCTCCTCCTCCTCCCCCCCTTCCCCTGTGTGGGCCTGGAGAAGCCCTGCTTCCCCCTCCGGTGAGGGAACAGCTCACTGCTGCGGTCAGCGCTACCCGGGAGCCCCACAGCCTCTGCACGGCCTCTCTCCCCGGGCCAGGTCCAGACCTTTCAGGCTGTGTCTGAGGTGGGGTATCATGCTGGCTCCCACCCCGGCTGGGCCTCTGGAGCTGAGCAACCTGCTGCTCTGGCCCTGGGCTGTAGACAGTGTGTGACCCAGGGGCCGCTCCCTTGCTGGGGGCCATTTGGGACCGGCACTGTGAGGACCTAGACTTGAGGCACATGTGCCGCTCGGGAGCACCTCTGTTCCCACCGGCCGCAGCTCCGCGCTCTGGGCCCCGGCTGCCTGGCTGGAGCCTCCCAGGTCCCGAAAGGAGGATGGAGGCTTCACTGAGTTTAAAATCCACCTGGTCGGCCTCCTGCATCACGTGTCTCGGAGCGTTGGCCAGGGCCAGGGCTCAGGGCCGGCATGACTCCAGTGTGAGCGAGGGGATGGGGCAGTGGGCTAGGACTCAGGAGCTGGGTTCTCTGCCCCTGCCCTGCAGGATGAGCCAGGCTGAGCTTTGGTGCCTTGGTCTCGCTATGGGAATGTGCAGCGCTCCCCAGGATGGGGCCCTGGTCCTGAGGAGGGGCTTGGGCTCAGGCTGTCCTCCGGGAGTGGTCGATGCAGGTGGATGGGGCAGGTTGGCCTGTGAGCGGGGTTGGCGGGAGCCACCCCAGCCCTTTAAAAGTCCCTCCTTGGCACTGCCTGTTGGCTGCATCCCAGGGGTCTCGCTGCAGCAGGAGTCAGTGGGGTCTTGGGCAGGGCCCGACACAGGGGCCGGTACAGAATGAGCCACGTGGGCTGGTGTCTATGCCCAACAATGGGAGAGGGCTGCAGCCAGGGCCTCTCCCTTATTCCCCTGAGCCTGCACATGCCCTAGTGTTTGACACCCTGTGGATGTCACCTTGCCTGTCTCTGGGGCCTTCCCACTGAGGATCTTGAAGCCCTTCACCCTCCCATCCTCCCTGGGGGAAAAGCATGATCATTAGCCCCATGGGGAAACTGAGGCACGGTGCCAGGGTGGTTCATACCCAGCTCCCATCAAAAGCTTTGGGAACCTACTGACTCCAGTGGAATAGGACGGGGCCTAGGCGAGTCTGTCAGGGGGCCCTGGCGGTAGTGAGCAGAGAGAAAAGCTGCTCCCCTGCACTTGCCCACCCTCTCCCCGAAGCATGAGCTGGCGGAGGCCCTGGGCCCTACCTGTAGCCTTTCTCCTCCTCGATGGGGTTTCCGTGCAGGGTCAGCGTGCGCAGGAGCGGCAGGGCAGCCAGCTTGTCCACCTCGCCCAGGCTCTGGATGCTGTTCCCGTGGAGGTTGAGGGCCCGCAGGTTGGGGAACATCGTCAGCTCCTGCAGTCACGCCACAGTGAGGGAGGGAGCAGAGAGCCGGGAAGTGACCCACGCCTCTCCCAGGGCCACGAGACCCACCCAGGCCTTGCCTTTCCCTGGCCTCTCACTCCAGGGCTTCACAGGGCTTCCTGAGCACAGAGCAGGGTCCCGCCCCTGGCTCTGCAGAGTGGGAAACTGAGGCACGGGGAAGTGATGGGACTCCCCCAATCCTCCATAAGGCTCCAGCTGGGAAAAGCAGCCTTATTTTCCCAGGCCTTAGGTTGCGAACCCTGCCCTTTTTCTTTCCCAGGCTCCCCAGTAACAGGCTATAAAACTCCCCAGCCCAGCTGGGCCACAACAGTTTGACTGTGTATACAAACCAGGGCTGGTGTTAGGGGTAGCAAGCCAGGCAGCTGCCTAGGGCCCCGCCTAGAAGGGGCACCGGGAAGCTAAGCTGCTCAGGTTTTGGCTCCAGCCCTGGGTGGTGGCTTGGGGCCCCAAGGCAGGACTTCAGCTTTCTGCCCTGAGCCCTATGAGTCACACACCAGGCAGGCTTGTCGGACCCCCTGAAAGCCACTCACGGCCCCCCGAGGGGGCCCTGGAGCCCTGCTTGAGAACCGCTGGCCTAAGGAACACCCCGGAGCTGTGATTTCCAGAAGAGCTCGCCAGGGGCCGGTCTGCTCCTGAGTGCCAGCAGCTTTTACAAGCGACACTGCTGAGCCCCCCGCAGCTCTGACGGCCAGAGAGCCCCCGAACCATCTGATTTCCCTAACGAGGGCCAGGGCATCGGCCCCTCCCCACAGCCAGCCATTCCCCTCTGCCACTGGCCTGCACCACTGCGGAGCAGGGGGCAGAACAGACCTGGGCTGAGCCACACTTGGGCTGCAGAGAAGTGACCCCGGCATGGACCAAGTGCCTGGCACCACAACCGAGACTGGCTGGGAGCACTTTGAAAATAGATCCTCCCAAGCCCTCCGCCCCAGGCACTGTTTGTCCTCACACGCTGTGTACCGCTGCGTGGCCAGAGCATGAATCCAGCTGGGCTCATGCAGCTTCAAAGGGGCGGTGATCCCTATTTTACAGGTGGGGAAACCGAGGCACGGAGCAGGGCAGGGATTTGCCCGAGACCGTGGGGGGGGACTCAGCATCAGAAGCAAGTCTAAGAGCCTGCTTTCCTGAGGGCTAGCCCCCTGTCTAAGCCACCAGCCCTCAGTGCCCGCTAGCTGTACCAGGTCGATGGTGCCCAAGTCGTTGAAGGAGAGGTCGATCCAGGAGAGCTCATCGGGGTACTCCAGCAGCTGCTCCATGGTGGAGGTGAAGTCGGTCAGCTCGTTGATGGTGTTGTTGTTCAGGCGCAGCGCCTGGGTCAGCAGCTTCCCCCTGGGCGACCGTTTGATCACCTTGGGGCCAGTCCGAGGCTCTTCTGTAAGCAGATCTAGTGGGGAGAGCAGAGCGGGGCGTTAGAGCAGCCTGTGGAATTCAGTCAGCGGCAGAGGAAGGCAGACGCAGACCCGGTCTGTCCTGGTTTTGAGATGGGTCCCGTCACCTGGGTATCTGGGCACTGCCCTGACCTCGCGTTGACCCGCCCCACCGCTGGGCCAGGGTTCCTGCAGGATCAGAGAGGGGGGACACCATTGGGTGGGGTGGCAATCAGGCATATGGGATCATTACAGCACCCCAGTCTGGCCCCCTGCCTCTCCCACCCCATTGCACCCCACTGGTACACCGTCCCTTGACACTGTCCGTGCCGCTGACTAAAACGCAGCCCAGAGGCTGGAAACGGGAGGCAGGACTCCTGGGTTCTCCTCTCCCTTGGGAGCCTGAGCAGGTGAGTGGAGCTCCAGGCCTCAGTTTCCCCAGCAGCAGACAGGTCCTGACATGCAAAGTCTTCTCTGCTGGGATAGCCAGGAAGTAACAGCCGTGGCGGGGCTCGGTTCCCCTTCCCCCCCCCCCAGCAAGTCTGCGTTAGGCTGCTGTGCGGAGTAAGAGTCGCACCTTGGATGAAGTTGATGCCTCGGAAGGAATAGTCCAGAGGAGGTGCCTGCAGCGAGATCTTACAGAAATCCCATCGCAAGGTCATCTTTCAGGCCACGCTAGGGAAAACCACAGGAGAGGGATTTCAACAAAGCCGGCCTGTGCCTCGTGGCTGCAGCAGGATGACAACACAGCTCTTTTGGGGACCCATGCCCAGGGCCCGGCCACTTGAGCTAGCAGAGCCTCTTCCTCAGAACAGGGCTCATGACACACAGCTGAGCCGGCCTAATGCCATCCAGGAGGGGGCAGCGGTGCCCAGAAACACGCTGGCTGGCTCTGCATGGTATCTGTGCAGCTGAGGTAGAGACAAAGGAATTTACCTTCAATCTCCCCCGCAGCCTGGCGCTCCCCCCTTAAGCACGGCTAAGGTTTTGGCTTTTGCCCTGGGGCCGAGGGCAACCAGCAGGGCCCCAGCATTCCTGTGACCCCCCCTTCCCCCCGCCAGCCTCCTTAGGCCACCCTCCTCAGGGTTCCAGAGGCAGGCAACAGACTCAGGGAGGAGGGGCGCTTGGGCGAGTAGATGGGGTGTCCTGTCTTCTCTTTGAGAAATATGGTCACCCTGCAGCTCCCAGCTGCCGTAGCAGATGGAGAGGGGAGCCCTGCCCCTACCCTGAGCCCTCCCACCTCTGCCTTGATTCCTATACCCCCACCCTGAGCCCTCCACACCTCCCAGCCCCCAGCTCTGACTCCTGCACCCTCTATAACCCAACTCCCGGCTCTGACTCCTGCATCCCCCACATTAGGGATGTAAAATCCTATTTAACTGGTTAACCAGTTTAACCAGTTAACCAATTAAAGGGGGAGCACTCCAGGTTAGGGTGTGTTTGTGGGGGGCTCTGCCAGCAGCACCGCAGATCGGGGCCTGCTCCTGGGGTTAACCGTTATCTGGTAAGCATTAGCCATTAAGGTAACCGGTTAACCCGTTTACATCCCTACCCCACATCCCAACCCCCCTGCCCTGAGCGCCCTGCACTCCACCCACCCCCAAGGGGAAGGCGTTGCAATTTGACAGTACCTGTAAGAAATGTAAGTTACTTTCCCCCCCGACAGGGCTAACGTGGCCTGTGGCTGCATAAAGAGAGGAGCGGTGAGTCGGGGTGGAGGCGAATTCCCCTCTGCCAGTGGCAAGACTAGATACTGATCCCCTAACAGCCGACACTGCCTCCAGTGCGGGTGCCCCATTTGTAAAAGCGTGTTTAAAACTTGAATGATCCGTGGGCTGGGAAAAAGGCCTGGGTGTGAGAGACATTCAAGCCGGACACACTGAAATGAGAAAAATGGCATCCAACGCGAGGGTTCACTGGCGAGGGCAACCAGGCATTGGAACAAACTCGCCAGGGAAAAGGTGGATTCTCCGTCTCTTCGAGCCAGGCCTTTCCGGAAAGTGCGTTTGCCAAACCCAAATTAACACCCCCAGCACAGGCAGGGTGAAATCCTCTGGCCTGTGCTATGCAGAAGGGCCAATGAATCCATGGAAGGGCAGCCATGCTGTTGTGGCTCGCTTCCCAGCATGGTTGTGAGGTTCTGGCTAGCCCGGAGGATTGCTATTCTCCACAGCTTTGCCCTTGCAGCCCTCAGCCTCTTCATGCCCGAGGAAACGCCTTTGCCGCAGCGTGCTGATTCCCCACAGGTTGTTTACTCTTCTGAGAGCTGGTTTTCAAACTGTGCTTCTCGGTTCACAAGCGCTTGAGGACCACCAGCCCTGGGCACGTCTCACGCATTTTCTGTGCAAAGGGCTCAAAGCTGCTTAAAACGTTCACTCAGCTTCCCAAGCGTATCACTGGGGAGCACCACGTAGGGATTGTAGGGTTCCAGCTCCCCTGCGCAAAGCATCTAACAATGCCCCAGAGATCACTGTGATTAAAATGATTAAAGGTCTCGAAAACAGGAGCTATGAGGGAAGACTGAAAGAATTGGGCTTGTTTAGTTTGGAAAAGAAAAGACTGAGAGGGGACATGGCAGCGGTTTTCAAGTATCTAAACATTTGTTACAAGGAGGAGGGAGAAAAATGTTCTCCTTGGCCTCTGAGGATAGGACAAGAAGCGATGGGCTTAAATTGCAGCCAGGGACGTTTAGGTTGGACCTTAGGAAAAAGTTCCTACCTGTCAGGGTGGCTAAACACTGGAATGAATTGCCCAGGGAGGTTGTGGAATCTTCATCATTGGAGACATTTAAGAGCAGGTTCAACAGCCTCCTGTCAGGGATGATCTAGACAGTGCTTGGTCCTCACATGAGGGCAGGGGACTAGACTTAATGACCTTGCGAGGTCCCTTCCAGTTCTAGTATTTTATGATTCTATATGATCTCTTTTGGAGCAGAGTAACTTTACCTCTCTTTGAAGCATGATATATACTTGCCTTCTATTAGCCTCCCCCAGCCTTCACCCTTTGAACACCTATGTTCATATCTGAATTTGGTTACAGGTGAAAATGTGTGTGGTGGGCTCAATGTAGCCCTTAGGGAATCATTGTTTATTGCTTAGGTGAATCCCGGACTCGTGTATCAAATTTGTTGCAGGTCATAACTAGCAGCGCTGCATTAGGAAGTCACAAAGCACCCAAATAAAGCAATTCTATGAACAAACCTTTCTGCTAAAAATGCTTGCATGTTCAGAACAGTGAAGAAGGCAGTGAGCCAGAACATTTTTTTCCCTCTGAATTTGGTTTATGTTCTGTTTTGATTTACAGTTGAGCATCTGTATCATTCATTCTTTGTAGCCTGTACTTTATTTTCTTTGCTTTTCAGTATGCAATTACCAGTTCAACTTATTGGCTAACTAAAAGACCATACTGATAAAATTACACTGGTTTGGAATTGTTTTACTACTGTTCTCTCTTGGATTTTCCTTTCTCCCCTCCCTTCATTCTTCCTTTATTTATTTTTTTTAATGTAGTTAAACTAAAATTTGAAAATGAAATAAACAGTAAATTCTTGCACTACTGTAGCTATTTGTGACTTTCTGAATCAATAATAAAACATTCATTCTCTTTTTAAGGTTTGTATACTGTACTGTGTTGCATGATAGTGACAGTGGATGAGGTAATATCTTTTATTAGACCACCTTCTTGTTAATGACAAGCTTATGAGCTCCACAGAGCTCTTCTTCAGGTCACTTGAGCCTAGGACGACCATGTCCACAATAACATTGCATAACAATATCAATGTCATTTTAATGTTAAATAAGTAACAATAAGGAGTTAAAGAATAATAGCTTTTGTAATTTAACATTTATATTACAATAACACTTAGTTGTTCTAATCAGGACTGGCCTGACTGTGTTGGGACCTATACAGACCGAAAAGGCAATACAGTCCTAGTACCATTAAGCTGTAGACTTTGTGGAGTTATGCACATATCTATTGTACTCAGGTACATAAGCGTTCCAGGGACAGACCTTAAACAGGAACACTGTAGATAAGTTTCTTTGCTTACATTGCTATTTCCTGGGACAGAACTAGATTTTATATAAATACAAATAGTTAATTTTTAAGGGCTATGAGTTCCCAAACTGGGGGGGTGTACCCCCCTGGGGGTATCTGAAGAAATTCTGGGGGGGGGGAGCCAA